AAAAACAACCTATTTTCAGAGAATGAAACCTATGGATAACGATGATTAGTGGGGCTTGTAAAATAAGCCTATCCAAGGATGCTCGAAGCTGAGCACTCTCATGCATTACTGGTGCTAGCAGCCTCTTGGGAAAACAGTTTGGCACTATTTATCAAGGCCCTCAAATATGCTCTCAATCATTGTCTTAGTGATATCACTCCTTGACTTTATTTAAAAAAAATACAAAATGCAGACAATTTTTACCAAGGTGTTAGAAACAAACGAAATACCAGTAATTCAGCCTACTGAGTAAAATAAAAACTCTGCATGATGGAACTTTGAAACAATACATACAAAAAATTGGGGAGCCTTGGATGGCTCAGTCTGTTAAGCATCCACCTCTTGATTTCAGTTCAGGTCATAATCTCATGGTTTGGGAGTTCAAGCCCCACAGTACAGAGCCTACTTGGGATTCTCTCTCTCTGCCCTTTCCATGCTCATGCTCTCTCAAAGTAAGTAAATAAAACTTTTTAAAAAACAGATACAAAAATTTTAAATAAGGAAAAATATACAAGATATAAAGTAATGTGAAAAAATACAAAACTACATATAGTATGACCTCAGTTAATTTTGTAACATATGTTTCAAATATATTTTTTCTAATCCTTTTTTATATTTTCACATGTATATTCTTCTAGTATATTATTTCACAAATATTATTTTCTGATAAATATTATAATCTCTCTGATATAGGTTATTCTAGAAAATGACTGGAAGAAGATACATCAAAATGTAAATAGCATATTACCTCTTCTATCCTATCATCTATAGGATAATGAAAGTAGCAGAAATTGCTAGATATGTCCAGTATCTGCTCTTCTCTTTTATGCTTATAATAGAATTTTCAGCTAGGAACATAGATGTCAAGGATAACTACTTTTCCCAGCCTCCATTGCTGCGAGGTGTGTGGCTCTGAGACAAAGTTCAATGTGAAGACTGCAACAGCGATAAATGTCAACTTGTGGGCCATGCCTTCCCCTTTCCAACTACGTCCCTTCCTGCTGGTGATAAGTGAGATCCTTAGGGCAAGCTACTACTTTAGATCATAAACCAAGAAAAACATGCTCGAGTGATGGACTAACATGATAGAAAAAGCATGGGTCCCTGGATGTTCTTGGGGGGCACAGCTACCTTTCCAGCCCTGGACTACCCATACCTCTGAATTATGTCAAAGAGAAATAACTTCTGTCACCCACGGTGAAGTCAAGTCTCTGTTACGTGCAGTTCAACTAACAACTCAAGTATTTTGGCAATTTAAGTATTTTCCAAATTTTTTTTTTTTTTTTTTTTTAACGTTTATTTATTTTTTTGGGACAGAGAGAGACAGAGCATGAACGGGGGAGGGGCAGAGAGAGAGGGAGACACAGAATCGGAAACAGGCTCCAGGCTCTGAGCCATCAGCCCAGAGCCTGACGCGGGGCTTGAACTCACGGACCGCGAGATCGTGACCTGGCTCAAGTCGGACGCTTAACCGACTGCACCACCCAGGCGCCCCTCCAAATTTTCAATAATCACCGTGAATTACTTTGATTATCCGAAAAAAAAAAGTTTGTTAAGCATCGTTTCATAATGTTAAGAAAATTAAGATAGCACAGAATGGAGTTCAAGCAACGTGTGACTTCTCTCCATATAGGAGAGGAAAAAATGAAATCCACACTTTCAAGAAGTAGTTAATATATCCTTTCAAGGGCATAAACTACACACAAACTCCCTGAGTTGCTATGACCCTTTCATCATGCACCAGGGCACTTTATTTCAAGCCTTTTGAAAAACAGTTTTAACAAGGAAAAGTTGTTTAGCTCTAAATAAAATCTGCTTTAAAATCTGCTTGAGGAATACTCTAAAAAAATAAAACTCTAGTCAACATATTATAATTATCCACTTGAGAAGATATCTAGACTTCTTAAAGTAAACTTAGAAACATTCTTAAAAACAGCTTTATATGCACTCACTCATACCTTTAATTTAATAAGGGTGTTGTTTTCTCCCCATATAGAATCATAATGACTCACCCCTACCGTACGTAATTCCACTGGCCCGATAACTGTGTTGACTGTCCATCAAACAAGTGTTATGTTTTGATTTTAGTTTCCTCTGGAGTGGAGCTCACATAACCTCTCTAATCTCTGTGACCCATGGGCCCGTACTATGAGATGACTGACCAAGATAAAGGAGTCAAATCTACTCCATATAATAGAGAAAAGATACCTCATCCACTTGGGGATCAGCTCTGAAACAATGGCCTCACTAAAACCAGTCTCTACTCATATTAGAATAATGCATTATAAGGATCCTTTAAATCTGCAATAACATTATGCCCGTGGTATGTGATGTCTTTTGGAAGATCATTAAAGCCTTGTGCACTGGCGTGCAAGACATTTCCCCAGGCAGACCTCAAAGACTTATATGTAATTATGTATCAGATAAAGGATCTATTTTTCCCCCCTTCTACCCCCAAGAGAATGTCAAATGGCCCTTTTCTCCCCTGTGAATCACAACCCCCCGACACTAATATGGCTAACTTATATTCAATAACAAAGGAGGTATGCCAGAGTTTCTTCACTCCCCTCTAAGGATAACTACGCCAGTATGTTTTCAAGATCCCCCTAAACTCTCTCTTGCAATAGGCAAATAGAAGCTGATAGTCCAAGCTCTGAATTCTCAGTTTCTCTCCCCCTCTTCCCTTGACAGGAACATAAGCAAGCCAACTCGACAGGCCTAATTACCATGGTAACAACATGCACTGTGATTATAGATGTGTTTGTTTTTTAAAATGACTCACAGATTGTTCTCCCAGAAGCCCCAGACACACAGGTTTCTGGGTGGTTTACAAAAGCTATTCAAAGTTTTCTTGCAAATTTCTCGCTCCTATTAGCATAACTGGTGTGATGGAGAGATTCATCAAATCAAATATGCCCTTCTCCTTAAGGAAAAAAAAAAAAAAAAAAAAAAAAAAAAAAAAAAAAAAAAAAAAAAACGCCGCTTGGTTCCTTAAACGCTCCAACATTAATCAATTTAAAACTTGGGTTAATAATGAAATTAATTTGAGTTTGTACACTGGAGATAATTAATCTGTTCCTAATTTAAATAATTAAGGTATTTCATAATGTAGTTTTAGAGACCCAAATGAAATAATCAAGTGAAATAAAATCAGCACTAAAAAAATAGCAAATAAAATAGCCTAAATCTGTGGGTACATGATCGGTCCCATGTAAAGTGTTACAAAAGAATAAATGTTAAGTCTTAATACCAAGATGTTTTTAAACCGATGTCCAAAATAAAGACATTGACTTTTTAAATGCAAACAGGAAAGAGTCCAGACATTTGGAAAAACTGGACTGTTCTGTTCATTTATTCAATACATATTATTTAAGACACGCTATGTAATAAGTATCATTGTTTATAACCAGAACATCGCAATAGGGCTTAGGGAAGACCATTTTTTTATTGGAGACAAAGACCATGGGTGTGGCTTAGTCTATGAGAAAGATTCTTTGCCTCACAAGGCACCATTCGGGGTAAGCTCTCAGTGAGAAGGACAATTTTCCAATGATAGTATTGGGCTTAGAATTCAGAGTCCTGACTTTGGCATCATGGTTGACTCTCTCCAAAAAAAAGCACAGTTGGTAATTTTGGTATGTTGGCTTTCCTCAGTATGAATTGGAAACAAACCTTATTTTAAAAGAAAATTTAAATGGAAACTTATAAATCTATTTAACTTAAAACTCTTTCTCCTGATGCTTTCATATAATAC